TAAGAATTCTTTGGTTCTTTAAAAATTGTTTTTATCTTAAAACTAAATGATTTCACATTAACAGATCCAACCAAGGCAAAACCGGGGCGTTTCGCTAGTAGAAAATAACATCGAAAACATATGTATTAGTGCAGACAACCTGTGAATTTGTCTTTTACATCTTAATATATAAAATTCTCGTGTCGCGGTGTTTGTTACCAAACTCCTCCGAAACGGCTGAACCGATTTGTATGAAATTTTGTGTGCATGCCGGGTAGGCTTGAGAATCGGCCAACATCTATTTTTCAAATCCCTAAATGATAAGGCTGATCCATCCCTTGACATTTATATTTACTATTTTGACAATTTTTTTTATTTTATTATGATTTAACATTGCAAAATACATAAAACTTCAAATTTTCACCCTTCTACGACAAGCCCTGTTTTTTAACCGCGATTTTTAAAAGTAAGAAATAATTCCTAGAAATAACGTATATGGCAAAACATCGTTTGTCCGGTCAGCTAGTATCTTTTATATAATTTTTATTCTAAAGGAATGTATAAAAATTAGGTTTATTATATAGAGTGAAACTGTGCTTTTACTTTTGAAAAGTTTTTGATACTTTTAACATAAACAAATTAATTTATAAGCAATTATCAAAACTCCCGAAATTTGATACAATTAAGGCATTGGATATTTTATTCCTAACATAAACACTCACGCCTGTCACCGAGGGGGGTAGGCAGAAACTATGGACTTCCATTTGGCACGATCCTGACACACCTCTCTCGCTTCCTTCACATCCATATACCTACGCCTACACGCTCATCGGTTAATGGTTCTTTTAATTTGGCCCATTTTCAATATATCGCCAATTTGGTCGATAAACTTTCGCCTAGGGCGTCCCTTCCCGACTCTGCCGTTCACGTCTGCAACATAATTTTGCTTTGTCACTCTTTCCTCATTCATTCTTTCTATTTGACCAAACCACCGAAGCATTCCTTTCTTAATCCTGGTCACAACATCATCTTGCAAACTACACTTTTCTCTTATCACACAATTTCTCACCATGTTATTCAGATTCAGCCCTAACATACTTCTTAATGACCGCATTTCTACAGCATTTATTCTATAATCAAAAGAAGATCTGTGTTTTGTGTGAGGTTTTATTTTACATTTAGATCCTATTATACTGTTTTGTTAGCTCATCTTGTTCGTCTTTCTTTTAACAAGTTGTTTATGCACAACCAGTGTAATCCGTATTATCGGTTGTTATTAGTTACACATTTAATAACAAGTTGTTAGTTAGTCTTTAGAAAATATAAAAGTATGCAAATTTTATTAGGTAGTAATCCTGAAAAATATACGGTCCTCTTCTTTAGGATTTTAGTAACTTACCAACCAACTATTAAAAATCCGTTACCTGTCTGTACTGTCCTAACGCAAATATAACGTATAGAGTTTTGGCAGAAATAAAATCCTATATTAGAATAATATTCTTTCGTTATGATCTCAATTCTGAGTTACGAAAATATAATAATGTAACCGTTATTTTATATTTATGATTTCTTATCACTTAATGATAACATTAAATGAACGCAACTCTCACGGTTTTCTTGGATTTAATTTTACCATTATTAAATTTCTGGTATTTTAAGTGGTTTCATAGGATCCCAATCAGATGGCAGCACCTAGCAATCTTCTCTAATGTCGAGGTACTATTGGGAATATTAAAAATTATAAAAGTAGTGTTCGTTTTACTTTACATATATCTTCAGATAAGTTTTGTAAAATAATTGTATAACACTATTTACCACTATAAACGATAAAAACATTTTTAAAATTAAAAGCATAAAATCATCAAAGTAAAAAAAAGCAAAAAAAAATCGAAGTAGTTATTACTTCTTTACATTTTAACATTTAAATTTAATTTCTTTACATTTTCAATTATAACGAGCGTTGTAACTATTAAAATATTACCTTACGCGTGTTCCAACTAGCTCTTGGTCTGTTTTAAGGTCGGTGAAATAGCAGCAACCACTGCTGAGCTATGTATGATAAGTAACGACAGCTGGAAGGCTGAACCCAAAATCAAATTGTCTTCTTGTATCGACCTACTCATATTCTTACAAAGTTTCTATGTCATGATGTTTTTTCTATAGAAGATGCATGGTAGAATTCAAACATCTCACATCTCACAGAAAACCAGCGTAAAATAGCAGCTTAACGCTGCTGTGTTTCGTATGGTGAGTGTAGAGAACCGGAGACCCTTTTTACTGGCAAAGAGGCATTCCATCTTAGTCCTCACGGGTGACAACGCATCTGCATCTTGAGTCTTTATTGAGATAGATATAGATGTCTATGGGTCACAGTAACCACTTACTCTCAGGTGGACTGTGTGCTCGTTTGTCACCCGATCCTATAAAAAAAAAACATTGTTGTAAACCCCTTGGCGTGTTTATTATGTAGAAGATTTTATGTATATAACCCTTTTTTATTGCATACACCTATTTAATTACATTATATTTAATTGTATTCTATATACAGAGAAATCTGCTTAAGGATGAACAATGTAGTATGATTATATTACCACATAATTGTGTTGTAGTTACATAATACGAAATTGTGACTAATTGCAGCCCATACACGTTCAATATATCTTAATGTACAACCTATTTAATTGTAAAACTGCTAATATCAAGTAAAATATATACGTGTTAAATAGTATTGAATACAAGAACATTGTGGGAATTTTTTTTTATAGAATAGGGTGACAAACGAGCACACAGTCCACCTGATGGTAAGTGGTTGCTGTGACCCATAGACATCCACATCTATCTTCAATAAAGAATCAAAATGCAGATGCGTTATCACCCATGAGGACCAAGATGAAGTGCCTCTTTTACAGTAAAAAAGGGTCTCCGGTTCTCTACACTCACCATACGAAACACAGCAGTATTAAGCTGCTATTTTACGCTGGTATTCTGTAAGAGCGTGGTCTTTCCCCTGTCGAGCCGACTCATTCGTGCTACAACTATACTACTAATATAGCTGCAGCATGGCTCTACCACGTAGAATATTCGAATAAGTTAAATATGGCGAGAGATTCATCCATTACAGCCTATGAAAGTCATTCTCCCATAGATTGCCTCACAAGGAGAATTTTAGCATAGTTGCTACGCTTGGCAGGCGGATTGGCAACCGCAATTTTTAATTTTTTTAAGTGTTATCAGAAAGTTGTTGCCCATCTTTTTTAGTTTCCCTCTATGGCATCTGTCACCTCTTACGACTCTCACGGGACGATAACGGGCAGTGAAAAAATACAAATGAGTTAAAAGTGGCGAAAGATTTTTTTATTACTTTAAAAAAATACTTGTAATGTTATTAAACATTACTAATATTTCCTTTAACCATTTCTAGTAAGCTTAAAATGCTAGTGTTAGAAGTGGTTCACGACAGTAGTCGAATGGCGGATTCGAACCCACGACCTATCGAGTTCGCGGTCCGCGCCCTGCCATTAGGCTACTGACGCTTTAATAGCCATTTAATAGCCCATTTGACGGTAAGTGGCTATGACCATAGCCCATGGGTACTTGCAACTTATTTTAAGCAAAACAAACTACAGTTGTAGACCCTTGATGACTCAGATAAAAAACCTCACGTCTTGTCACCGTTCTCTAAGTAAAGTCTTAGAAAACAACGGTGAAAGCACTACCTAAAAATAAATAAGGGTAAAGGGAAAAACGACTCAAAATAATAAAGATACTGCATTCGCCAAGCCTCTTACCAAGCGCAGCAACTATTGCAAAATCCATCCATAAGGCAATTTATGAAGGGGGTCTATGTTCAGCAGTGGACTTTTATATGCTGTAAACTGTAATGGATGGACCAATGGAAAGTTAAAAAGTAATCTACACAGACGAATAACTCCAAACTTCATGTCAAAAAAGGAGCCCTCCCACTTACTAAATCAACCACTTAGAAAATTGTACACATTTTTTTATATTTTACCACGTTTTTATTAAGTGACTTGTTTGTCTGTCGTTCTGGGTGCAATTTAGTAATTGATTTTAAAGTAACTTCTCGATGAGCTGTAAACTTGAAATTTTGAATATAGCTCATAGTCAGATGATAATGCAAGAATATAATTAAAAAAACATAATTTTTTTAATTTATAAAATTTGTTATACTTTACGTTACAAGTCCCATTTTATACGTGGTAGAGCCATGCTGCAGCTATATTAGTAGTATAGTTGTAGCACGAATGGGTCGGCTCGACCGGGTAGGACCACGCTCTCACAGAGTACCAGCGTCAAATAGCAGCTTAACACTGCTGTGCTTCGTATGGTTAGTGTAGAGAACCGGAGACCCTTTTTACTGGAAAAGAGGCATTCTATCTTAGTGCTCACGGTTGGCAACGCATCTGCATTTTGATTCGCAAACGAGGATAAATGTAGGTGTCTATGGGCCACAGCAACTACTTATCATCAGGTGGACTGTGTGCTCGTTTGTCACCCTAACCTATAAAAAAGTCCTTGTTTATTATTAAATAAAAAAAGACCGATTAGTGGCGGTATAAGAATATCCACTCTCCCATATCATGGCGTCATAGAAGGTGATAGAGGGAAACGAACCAAGAGATGTGCAGTAGAGTCTTCTTAACAATAATTAAAAAATAAACTACGACTATAAATCTATGATTGACAGTCCGCTTCCGAAGCGTGGCAACTATGGCAATTTATAAGGGAGGTCTATGTTCATCGGTAGACTTTTGATAGGCTGTAAATGTATAGTGAGGGTAAGATAAAATTATCAAATTACTTTAATGTTTCCTTTTTTTGTTTCAGATTGGCAAAATATGAAGCAACATACAATTTACAAATAACAGGGACATCAACTTGAACAGCTAAAACAAAAACGATCACTTAAATCAATTATAAATAATTACTTATGTATGTACCTGTTGCATAGGTGACAAAAATGTCTAACGCCGGATTTAGAAGATAAGGTCCAGTAGACAATGCACAGTTACCTTGAAGCGGCTATAGCTACCACACTACTCCAAATTTTGTTTTCCTTCTCAGGTAAAAATCTGAAACTGGCGATATCTATTTTTCGTTAACATTATGATAAATTAAGGTCTGTTTATGTGATTTTGTTTTTACTTTAATTTAAATTCCTCAAGTAATATTTTATTTATATATTAATACGTGAAGGAAAAAGTTTGTACTCCTTTTTTCAGCATATTGCAAACACGTTGGAGTGTGAGGTTAGGCATAGTTAGTTTATATGAATAAGGACTGCAACAAGCTATAATTTACATATAGTTTGTGTTGTAAATACATGAAATAAAATAAAATAAAACATTCATTGTTTGCGTTCATACTGTTATTGTTATTGTTATATTCATTAAAATTGCACAGAGTAGAGATTGTCACCAAAGATTAGTATTGTTCAGAGTAATTTTAAATCGTTGCTAACAAAACAATTACTGACAGTTTGATTGAATGAGCTGTGAATTCCGTGTTCTACTGTTCCTTTCCAAATATTTTGTGGGGTGTATTTCAAGGCACAAAAGCATTTATTTTATATTTTTTATATTAGAATAATTATTTTATTTACTAACGTTCAACCGAACGCATATATACTGCATATTATATATACTGATGGATGAAATTGAAATAGAGCTTGATTAATATAGGTACAAATTCAAAAACTTAATGAACTCTGATCGAATTTAGACCACTGGTAGCTCACTAGTATATATAATTAAAGACATAGTTCAGGTGCATTTGATACTTCATAGTATTTAAACTTCTTAACCGATTCATGGTACAAGATCGCAAAAAATATATAATAATAGTAATGTCATTTGATGCATCGTTATATTTCTATATACCTATAGTCGTAAGCGCGAGATCTCAGGTTCGAGTCCCGGGTTAGGCCAAACTAAGTTATTTGATTTTTCTGAGTAATAAATTAAAATTAACAATTTTGTACAACGTAGTTCAATATATATTATTAAGAATAACTCAAAAACTATTGGTTAGACCTTGATCAAATTTATATGGGACCACATGAGAAGCGCTAGCTTTCAAATAAATAAATAATCATCGAAATCCGTTCACCCAGAAAAAAGTTATGAGATAACACACATAAAAAAACATACAGTCGAATTGAGTACCTCCTCCTTTTTGAAGACGGTAGAAAAAGCAAGTAAAGGTATTATTCTATGGCTGATCTTTACCATCCCATCGGACAATGGATGCGCGAAATGGCTAGTCTCCGTTGAAACTAACGTACCATGTAGCATAAGGTTTGTGATATTTAAATCGAATGAAATTCTTTTCGAAATCAAAATTAAATTTAAATATTACCTGAGCTTTTATTTGAAGTTGTAGTTCGTAGCTAGAATAATTTCTGACTATTAAACCAAATCTAATTGAAAAAATACTAGAGGAAACAGAATATTATTTTACCTTTCTTGTTTAATTGTCTAAACCTGCAATTCATTTATTTTATTAACAGTTAACCAGATAAATTTTAATCAATTTGAGTTCTTTAAAGAAACAAATTATTCTCGATTTTCATATGTAAAATTAATTAAGAGTCTACTAAAATACTTAGGTAAAATCCTCCATCTTCAAAGTAACTTTTTCAATAAATCCGAACTTATTCATAAAATACTTGTAGGTCTTGGTAATTATTACAACATCAAAAAATCCAATAACAATTCTTGTCAACATTTGGCTTAGACGCTTATTTAAATTACGGAAAGATCCAAATTAACTTATTTCTGATAAAAATAACTTCTTTAATATAAAAGGTATAGAATACAATTCGCTTCGAAACAACACTACCGAAATTGAATTTATGTAAAGGTTTTTTTTTTTCCTTGGATATAGGTATATATTCTATTTTAAGGTTGGTTATATGAGACTCCGTTCACTTGAAATGTAGTTTCTACACTCCATAATTATATTATTGTTAGTATAACTTTGTATCAAATATTGTAGGGCAGTAAATTTAAATTCATAACGTAAATTTTTTAAGCCTTTTTTTTGTTTGTATACACTCAATTTGAGATTGTGACGTTACTTTTTAGGCTTTCACCCAAATCAAAAAGAAAATGTCAATTCGACTTTGTTTCTGTACCTATGTGAAGCGATATGGTCAAATTTAGGTAATCGATTATCCTGATATTTATTTATCTTTAACAGTGGTCCTACAAATATTTAAATCAAATCCGGTGATAATAGAAGTCGGCTTATATTTTAAATATAGGAATTATATTGCAATGGTGGTAGCCTGAAAAACAAATTCCCAATTCCATGTTGTGTTGTTAAGATTTGAAAGAAATTTCTACATAGGTTTTCATATTCTTAGATAAGTGTCAGCAGTTGAATATATTTTTATACATTATTTTTCTTTATTATAAGATACTACGTCAAGTAAGCAACAACGAAACGGACGGCGGAAGCAGCTGTGTCGTTCGCGTGCTGTTTACCAATTTATCACTAAGCTGATTATATATAGGCTCTGTCTTGTGACGTGCTTTATGACCTTGTTTGCTCTCCTTCCATTGTTTAATACTACTTTATTTACACACCTTTTAAATCCTAGACGAGACGACGGAAATTTCTCGCGTCAACATCGTAGACGTCGTTATTACTTTAAACATTTTCCCTGCATTTCCTTAGTATTTTTCTTCTATTTGTATTATAAACATAAACACCAAATACAAACAATTTATTTCAATAAATCAAGCACGCTTATATAGTAAAATTTTACAAAAAAAATAATTCATAGAAAAAAAAACAGTGGCATAAAATACTGTTACGGTTTACTTTATTACTACAATTTTCTGTTGACCGCCACACTAGGCCAGGCCGGTCCTATGGCAGTCTGATTTATACTTTAACAATAGTGAATCTATTAACTGATTACAAGAAGTACAGTATGATTTATGAAGATAAAAGTGCTTGGAGTTTTCTGCTTAAATCTATACAGACAACAGATGGCAAATTATAAGAAAACTGGAAGGTATAGCAATGCGCTCATGCTACAAAATAAATTGCATAAAAGTAAACAGGAGTCACAAAAGGCGCACCGCAAATTGTGTTTTCAGTGCTATGTTCGGAGCGCAGGTGGTGAAACCGGCCTTAAGCTCAAGCGGACCGCCGCCAAATCCGTATACGACTTTAATTTAACTTCGCTCCGTGTATAATATTGTCCTTGCACTTAAATTTGAATAATAATTTGAGCTAACTTATATATGAGCACAAACTTTTTAAAAAGTGTATTTTTATTAAAAGAAACTTGTAGTTATATATTTAACAAATTTTTGGCGAAAACGAAAAAAAAAGAGAAGACCTGGTTGTGACAGAAACCCATCTACCGAACCAGGGGATGATCACTTACTGGTGAGTCAAGCGTTGAGAAATCGCAAATCTTCGTGTGTGGATCACGAAAAATCTCGAAAAAGTAAGAAATGTGCAAATAATTCTATGGACGGTCAGGAGGAGGCTTTTCGTTGCCAATGTACGCAATCATCGCCCAGACCGCGGCCCTAAGCTACTCCGTGAGCACCGAGTTGCCAGACTAAGCTTCGCTCGAAATTGTGTGTAATGAACTCAAGAATGTGTATTTCGTGTAATGGCGGTGTAAGAATATCCACTACCCCATATCTTTCCGTGTGTGTCGCAACAGAGGGAGACTGAGACAGAAGATGGACAGCAGCATCTTTATGCTAGCAGCAAAATAACAATAAAAAACTGCGTTTGCCAACCCACTTCCCAAGTATGGCAACTATGGCAATATACTCCCCGTGACAAGAGTTAAAAAGAAATTGCTCCCAGTCCCCGCTGAGCCTGCTATTTCTGCTACGATGGCAGCGATCGCCAAATGGTAAGAGGCACACTGAATCTAAATGTTAAGTTGGAGATGTCACGTCTAATGAATTTAACACTTCGTCACCCTTGTGCTCTAATCCAAAGCCACGTAAAGTTTAAGATCGAGTTACAAAATCTATTTCATTAGAGGTCAATCGACGGACTCAGACTGTACAAGCAGTGCGTGTTGCCAGTGATGAATTATGGATCTGACACGTGGTCCTTCAGTGCTTTGCACGTATGAGAAAGCTCAACGCTCGAGATTTCTCGAGATTTTGTTTACGAGAGAGATTTAACGGAAATCTTCAGTAAAGCCAGAGTAATCAACATAACCCAACGGATGAGTAAGCTAAGCTGGCAATGGGCTGGCCATATAGCTTGAAGAATCGACAAACGATGGGGAAGAAAGGTTTCCGAGTGGCAGCCTGGCCTATAGGTGAAGTACAGGGCCCCCCTCCCCCACTAGATGGAGATACGTTCTGGTAAGACATGCAGGAAGTCGATGGATGCACGTGGCTCAGGACCGTGCTTTGTGGTATTTCTCTGAGAAGGCCTATTTTCAGCAGTGGACTTGTGAAGGACTGTAATGACGATGATGATAATGAACTCAAGAGAACTGGGCTAGGGTATTGCTCTCCGATGAAGCCATTATATCTCTGTATGGTAAAGATCGATATCGGCGAGTGCTACGAATACGAGGAGAATGCTTTGTAGAGCGTGTTTTGAAGAAATCACACCTTAGGCTGTGGGCGCTGTTATTTTGGGCAAAAATAAATTCGTTGGATCGTATGGAGATAATCTTAATCGAAAACGGCACTCTGAGTGGACACCGATACATAAAAGAAGTTTTAATTCCTCATGCACAACCCGCATTGGCCGCTCTTGGCAAAAACTACTTTTTTATGGACGACAACGCTTGCGCTCACCGGTCTGGAGATGTGAAAGTGTATATGCTACAGTCCCGAAAAATTATACATATAAAATTTATACTTTCCAACAACAAAATTATCCATTTATTTTTCAAATACTGAAATACATATTAGCATGATCGTAGTAACAAATACTTGGGGCGAGCAAATGCAATAATGTAAAATTTGCATAGACAGGAGTTCACCCGCACGCCGCGCTGGTGCGCAGTACGGTATGAATACGTAACACAGTTACATCGATATACCGCCCGAAAATATTGTTCT